TTAAATATTTTAACATTGACGGCTCAATTTGAGAGCATTCTTTGGATGGAATGCAAGAGGTGTACATGCATTCAACGTTACTAGAAAGTGTTGTGCTTTTACACTCCGACATCTCTAGCAGATCACGCAGCTTACATACTGTGTACAATACAACGCCAGTGGTTTCATGTGTTTGTAACGTGCCTCTGATGATGGTTCTTTTGAACCGAAACATGTAAGGCGAGTGAAATAAATAAGTGACCTAAGAACGTTGTTACACTCGACGGATTATTCATTGACAATTTGTCAAGGATACAACTCTTCATCATATAAAGTTCGCCATACCTGCATACGTGATCGCTGATGTGACAGGCCATTCTACGAGTGGACAGACACAGACTTCTCTGGACCATCTCAAGAATGTTCTCTCGTGTGTTTCTCATTTGTACATCCTCCCTTTCCGACTGCACAGAAACACTCGGAAGAGAACCAGTCTCACGCAATGTCTGGTGAATTCGCATAAATACACTTCGAGATGGAATCCTTCGATCGGGAAAACGCCTTTGGTATTTTTCAACAGCAGCATGTGCACTGCCACTGCAAAATCCACACACAAAATGCATATCACAATATTCCACGTGTGAAAACGCAAAAGGCATTTCAGCAACTCCACACAATTAACCTACCACCCATTCACGACTCGGCCGCAATGTATACTGATGGGAGCTTACGGCTAGTGTGAATCACCACACTCAAGGACAAACATAGATAAAGCGTCTCAGCTGACAGGTATAGTGCGTGGACCCGCCAGAAGACCACATTTTTCTCGGGCCATTATCTCCGTAACCGTTCAACTTTGGACATAGGTGTTTTGGGTTATATCGGCATACTTTAACATAAGGAACACCCTCCCAAAGTTTGGCACATTCCTACTGGGACACCCTGTATGTTAGACAGACATCAGGATGCAAAGAACAGATTGATGTAAACAGAACAGAGATGCAAATTTCTACAATACAGTGTGAACAAAATTTGAAATAACACAGATCAAAATATCTCCCTTCCTCCTGTCCCCCCCCAAAACTAACAAGACACACATGAATAACTTTAGAAAAATACTGTCATGATTTAGGGGCATGACTATAGACAGGATATGGATTGGTGAATGGATATATTGATAACTTGTATACACCACTCGGAACTACACTTTACAGATCACTGACACACACAGACTAGTGTCCTCAGTCTATTACAGTCTCCACTAGCCGTTTCCTGGCAACAGCTTCTACCAGTGGAGAGTCTTCAGTTTCCTGCACTCAGGTCCTCTTGTAACAGCTGCCCATGCAGAACTCTTGTCAGCTGACAGCTCAAGTAACTGGGTCCCTGGCTGGCGGCCATTTCACACCAACCTCCTAGTCTTCTCTTCACAGGCTGACATTCAACTCAACTGAACTCTCTCTCTCACCAACCAGCTACTTCATGTCACTTCACTCAACTGAACTGCAGACAATTCCTGACAAAGTCAAAGTCAACGTTACTTTATGACTGATCGTTTACTGCCAATCAGTTCTTCTTGGTGTCAAGGCCCTTGAGATTCATGACCAGAGATGTCTTTTTCAACTGAACCCTTGCGGTCATAGTCCTTATGTAACATCCTCTCTGACAAGAAGATGGGCTTGTCCCTTATGAATATGCCAGGCATTAAGTCAAGTGTACATATTGCACACACAGAATGTTACTAAAAATTCAGCCTTTTGCACTATATACAAGGCCTTCTCTCAGTCCAGGCTTTGCAAAGCAGATCATGCCTGCCTTACGCATCTTATGCTACAATGGCAGCTTAGTCACTTCAGTAGTCGTACACATGACCACTGCCAAGTTTAAGCCTGACAAAAAGTCAAGTCAAAGTTACATTGTGACTGATGGCTGGTCAGTCAGTCAGTCAATCTTGGCATCGAGTCCAATCTGGGGCTCATGACCAGATATTTATTACTGTTTGACAGTTTAGGTCATTATTGTGGGGCACTCTCTCTGACGAGCGGACGGATCTGTCTTTTGCCAAGAGTCATTGTCTGCAGTAGCAAGTTTTTTGTCATAATGTAAAGGATATTTACATTTCACATCTTAAACATGATAATAAATGTATTAAATACATACAGGGTGCTTCAGTCAGTGTCCTGTTATTTAATCTCAGGATGGATTCAACAGAAAACACCACCTCCAACAATCCTATATCGTTGTCATGGGCAGTTGCCTAGGAATAGACTGGATATTGTTTCCACAAGAACATGTTTACCGACCACTGGTTAGAAAATGGTGTTTGTTTGTCCACTGACTGCATAGCAAAGGCTGTACCCATGCATTTTGAGGTCCCTGCAGAGCAACGGGTCTATACACCACAATATACAATATACAATCTGACCATGATATAAATTTATGAAACTTGTAAAAAGGTTCATTCTAATAGGTACTCATAGCATCAAAGAATGGTAAAATCACAAAATCTATGAGTTAGCCCTTAACATTCATCTATGTTTATCACACTAGGGGAATATGGTTTAGAAATAATGCTGCTGAACCAACATTTATTCTGTTTTGTAGTGGTTACCACAGAGATATGAGAACAACAAAGAATAATTCAACTTTCTAAACATCTTCAGCATTATCTGAACCAGGAAGTTAAGACAACCTTCCCTCCCTACAACCAGCTACTTATTAAGAGTTATCCTTTACAAGTCCCATTAATTATCTGACAAGAATCCAAAGCACATGAAGTTCACACTGAAGCAGTTTTTACTTTTGTATGTGCTACATTTTCGACTAGCTGTAAATGCAATTAATTTGACTAACACTCTGCAAATACTAATGCCTCCTCTTGCTTCCAAAGAGTAAAGCAACCTTTCGGAACACTGAAAGAGGTTGATCTTTATGCATGCCAAGAAATGACTGGCTTTCATCTTCACTGTTGATCTGTTATCACAGTACAGAGGTAAATAAAACACATAAAGTCTGAAGATAAAAATTCTATAATAACAAATTAACAAATCCTTTGTTATCAGAATCAAAATGTTCAACACTGCTAATACCAAAGTCTGTCAGTGGACATGATTTTGACTCAGTTCAATTCACATCCCATTCCCATAACCTATTTCAATAAGATCCATCTCAATATTTTTCATTTCGTGCATCCTGTTGTGTTATTATATATAATTCTTTATTAGAGTCCATCGCAACACAACAACACAATGGTCAAGGTTAAAATTAGCTTAGCTACATGTTGCAGCTATTAAAGCCATCATCAAGCAAACACATGATTACAATATTCACACACTACTGAACCATTACTGCGATAGTGAAGCTGGATAATTGATAATTATTATATTATAAAATAAGCAGTGTCCGTAGTCTAGGGGTAACGTTCCCACCTCATGACTCAAGGTACACGGGTTCAAACCCAGCAGAGGTGGTGGAATTTTTAAGGGCGGAAAAATTCAGGGAACAAGTCCTCTGGGAGGGACTTTAAGCCGTGGGTCCCGTGTCATAGATTTACGGCATGTAAAAGATCCTCATGTCTCTAGGAGACGTCTGAGCAAAATCAGGCAAAAAGTTTCCCGCCCAAGTAGTTTCCAATGCCTCCAGTAGATAGGGAAGTTATCGCGTACCACTGCCAGAAGAGGGCGGGCCTGGCTGGCAGAAAGGGGCTGATAGCGAGCACCAGTAGCGGTAGGGTATGGTGACAGTATAAATTAAAGGGGGACATACAACAGACTACTAGTCGCGGTGCATGGGGAAACCCACCCACTCTAATACTGAATAACTGAACTGAATATTATAAAATACACTGTATAAAATACAATGAACTATAAACTTATTATAAAAATGAAAGTTATGTCATAAAATAAGGTTATAAACTCTTCATGTGATATTCCATATCATCATGTCAGTTGTTGCAATTTTGTTATATTCCCACAGACATAATGGTATATTGTAAACTTGTATACATGTAATAAACTGCTTGGAGACCCATGGTATAGATGTAATATAGTTTTGACATTAATTGTTTAGCCGGTGCCTCATCTTACAGTGTATTTGGTCTGTTCTGTAGGGAATATAGATTGCAACTCAATCTATTCTAAATTCTTTTCCCAATTTATCAATCATCCTACCATTGAATGCTATATGGTCTAAGATACTGAAAGGATCATAAAATAACCTATCCACCCCATATTTTCACAGCACTAGAACCATAACAGAGGACGACAATAAACTATGAATTAATAAAAATTAAAAGTGGGATCCTCTGTATAATCCACTGGAAGATACAGTGCAACAAATTACATTTTACAAAATGAGATTGTAATGGGTCATCTGATCTAACATACTCTTGGATGATTACGATCATGTATGGTGCTAATCTTGAACCTTCAAGTTGTGTATGGGATCTAACCTGAATTAGTACGCTGTGGGAGAGCTGCCAATTGCAGTGAGTGGGTCAGGAACACATCGCGTTCATTTACAAATACAGTTCCGAGGGCTGGAAACTCCCCAGCCATTTCAGCCAACATTTCTTCTAGGAGATCCCGTCGTTTGCAACGTTCTACCTCCTCCTTACTGCAAACGAACAACTCTGGGTTAACAACAACACCCTTTAAATGGGTGAAGTAGTATGTTCTAAAGTATGTGGTGTGTCAGCAAGTGAAAATATTAAAATTCTGAACCGCTTTTAAACTTCAGGTGTAACCTCAATTTGGTCCAAGAACACACAACAGAACAAGCAATTCTGATCACCAAAACTACCACAATCTCAATGATATCCATGTTTATATATTAACTTCTCTTTATCAGTATATTTTCTTAATAAAATTGTGAGCAAAAACTAATATTAACAGTGGAGGTACAGAAACATGAGAAAAGAAAAAATGTGGCAACTTCACAATAATATTTTCAAAACTTGAAAACCTCTCTTGGTTATGAAACATGTCACTAAAACTCATTTTCCATTCTGAATTAATGATATATATATTGTCACATGTTGTGTGTCTGTCATGCGACAAGTAACTTTATGCTGTCTTGGATGTAGCAAATTTATTACACATTCGCTCTTACACTTTCCTCACAGCTCACCCTATAAATTTCTTTCCAATTTCATCTGTATTGGTCTATAAACTCTGTTATTTGAGGAATATGTAGTTTGTTAGTAATTTAATTTATTTTATGGTCTGAAAATGTATATAATGCAGTCCTTATGAAATGCATTTCTGCTGACATCAGTATTCTCTCATCACTTACTGTTCATGACTCACATCAGAAGATAATTTTGGTCTAGTAAGTGTACCACGAATTCATATTCCTGCATGACTATAAATCAATGGTAGTCTCAATATCTGTTTTATTCTAGTATGTTACTATAATGAAAACTTTTTACATTCAAATCCTTTTCTCCTTTATATACGCTCCCACTTAACTGAAAGCATTACTCTGTTCCAGGATCCCATCATTAATGCATATCTTGCTTCTAATTGATTCAGTTCCTCTAGAATCCATAATTTTATTTTTTTTTTCCAACATTTATCTTCATAAAAATTCTGCAGTTATGTTACTTAAGTTGTATACTGAAGTACAATAGATCATTGAAGGTCGCAGTGCGAGGGCTGGTTTTTATGGCTCACCCCTCATACTTATAATTTGTATACTGAAGCACAATAGATCATTGAAGGTCACAGAGCGAGGGCTGGTTTTTATGGCTCACCCCTTATACCCATAAGTTGTACACTGACCACTGCAGATCACCTTCAAATTTGGCCAGAATATTCTGCTCATACACAAATATCACAGTATTAATGTCAAAATTTCTGTTAATTTGAGATGTTATAATATCTCATCGTTCATATTTCATACATGTGATGAATAATAATGGTGAAAAACTTGTCTTATGCCTCTGTTAACTTCTTTACATTCAAAAACTAATGACTCTATTCTTATCTATTGTGTATAATTTCTACCTGTATTGCCATAATCAGTTGATCGTGTACAGTATCTTCTACAAGTATATAAACTGATTTGCTCCTATAAGCTTCCTCCAAGTCTTTCTTACAGTCTATGAAGGCTGGATGCATTTCAATACCGAATTCTCTGCATTCTACAATAATGCGTAATAGACAGATATAGCCACTGTAACAAGATCTTCCTCCATACAATGCAATCCTCTTCACTTTGTTAAGTATGCCTATTAATTGTAAATACTCATGGTATAATAAGAGTGCAGGAGTAAGAGCGTTCCTACCTAATTGGTTGCTTGGACATTATGAGGTGCCACATAAGACGTATCGTTTGCCACCACGACAATGAAGCCAGAGCCCTCTGTAGTGTGATGTGTATAGGTCGATCACCCAAATGTATAAGGCACATAGGCACCTGTCGAGCCTGAAATCAATTAATCCTTTATATAATACATATATTTAAGTGAAGAATAAGAATAAAGAACTGAGAATATGTGGATCCAAGAGAGATAAGTAATACAGACATAAAGAATATTACACAGTAACAAGTTTCACAGTTCCACATATGACAACTCACCTCAGCAAATGCCCTTCGGAACTCTCCACCTGGTGCCATACCCAACTGCTTGGTAAGGTGTGCTGACATACTGAGCAGAAGGATGTACATCAGACCATTGAAAACACCATTCTGCTTGATGGTTGACTGCACTTTCTCTGTTTACAAAAGCAGTGAAACAGTACTTTCAAAAATTTTCTGAACACCTTCATAGTGGAAAGGTAGCCTCCTGCCTTCTGCAGCTTGAACTGCATTTATTTCTTGGTACATACACATCAGTAGCTGGTGGCTGTATAGAAATCTGACATCTCAAGCATAATAACAAAATAGTTAAAGAGGTTAAACGTGAACGAACGAGATAAATTAATTTAAAAAAAATAGTAAAATTTGTTTTATCTTTCTAAGCAGTCTTAGCACAACAGGAATTATGACCAGATTTCTATATTCAAAGAGTGTTTACTAAAAAATCACTCTATCATAACTATTATGGTGGCATATTAGATGTATACGTCATTTCAGGAGTTTATCTTTATCTTCAGAGTTGTTGTGACTTTATACACATAAAACAAATTTCATCAGAAGAAATAAAACCAAACCTATATTCTAAGATTGTTTTCACCTAATCCTTCCATTTATGATTTTGTGTTTCAAACTGTATTTGTACTTCCTGATAAACTGAAGAGTTTGGAGGAATATTTATAACATATAAATCTGTTACTGCCAACAATAACACACATACTTTTCACAAAAATTTAAAACCAACTAACATAAAATCTGTAAACCTAACCTCAACAGCTTGTAAATTGCCATAGGATAATCTTCACAGAGACTTGCATATATATTTCTCAGCTCTCTTCACGGCAAATTTCAATTGCCTGCTGTAACAGTTTCGTTTCGAGAAACAATGCTAGAACCAAAATTGTCACTAAAACTAGTATTTACATGAACTAAATAAAGTGGTTTCATAATTTCCATAACAATTCATTTTAACATTTGTGATTTAAATGACAATGTGCATCATAAGTAATGCCTGATAAACTTCTAAGCATTAAACCATTTTTGTCAGGGTTCAGAAAGAAATCAATGACACGGCAATATGATTATTTTTTCAGGTCAATTTATTTTCTTTCCTTTCCCACATCTTATACTAAGGGTCACCAACTTTTATAAGGTAATCGGGCAACTAGTAGAACCTAGTTAAGTTAAAGGTGGCACTATGAATTTACCTGAAAAATAAAAGATACAAATTGTGATAGATTACAAACAGTCTGGCACCTTGTGTTCTCACAACAAGACATTTTCCAAAACATTGTTCTGACATACTCTTATGTCTTAAAAATACCTAATAAATAATACGCCATTTTCTTAGATAATATCACCATTACTTACATCCAAATCTTTCAAAACCTGAACATAATTTATATATTTAGAACTTTGCAGCACTGAACATAGATGTGGTTCATTGAGAGGATCAGTAACAATTAAGAAATTAACATATTTTAAAATTCTTGTGAGCACCTGAAAGCACCTCCAAAGCTCATCAATGCACATGTTAGAAAATGATATGTGTCTTATACTAATTTAAAACATTCTGATATTCAGTTGGAAACTTACAAACATATGGAATTACTGTTTTTTTTTTTACTTTTCCCATTGTCCAGCATTCTAGGGAACAGAAAAAAAATCTAGAATACCAGACGATGAAAAAAGTCCAAAAAACCCAGTTATTCTGTGTTATACACCACTGTCAGAACCCTTTAGAATCTACTTACAATATATGGTTATATAGTACTTCCCCCCCTTGGCACTACAGCCCCAGTGGGCCTAGGCCTACCGCCATGAAACTCTCCGTTTCACTTCGGTTTTTCTAGATCTTACACACACGGTAGGACTCCTTGTGCAAGTGATCAGCTCGTCGCAAGGCCTCTACCTGTAGACAAACACAGAAAAACGCACACACACAAACTATACATCCATGCCCTGAGTGGGATTCGAACCCACGATCTCGGCTTCCGAGCGAGCGAAGACAGTGCATGCCTCAGACCACTTGGCTACCATGAACGGCTTTATATAGTACTTACTTACTTACTTACTTACTTACTTATGGAGCTGAGCCCTTCTTGAGGAGCCGCCAATTCTGCAGCTACTCAATAATTTCCCAGCATTTTATGGAACCCGAAGGTTCATCACCGGGTTCACAAGAGCCCTCCACTGGTCCCTATCCTGAGCCAGATTTACCCAGTCCATACCATCCCATCCTATCTCTCTAAGATCCATGGTTATATAGTAGCAAACAAGAAATTCAATGATGATTGTATGATAAGACTATCCTTGAATTTTTTATTAGACACCTAATGTCAAGATTAAGATTGGTTGAGCTATATCACCACTCTCCCCATATGTCTTCATGGCATGGTGCTTAACTAATTAAGCCCAGGGATAACTTTACCTTACCTTTGTATATGACATGACAGGAAGGAAGGCTGAGGATTTCTTGTCATGGGATGTCTAAATGAATTGAGGAAAGCCATGGAAGATGTTAGAATGGACAAAGTTTGCAGCTATTCAAAACTACATACCATGGTAACCACTATATACTATATCATGCAGTATGAATTTTGCATGAGCAGCTCAAAAAATTAATCCTAAAGATAGTGTGAAGCCCATTTCCAGTAAAAAAATACACACAAAGTTTCTAAGCCATATTTCAGACACTGTACGTTCACTCTTCACTTCTTTAAATATTACTGCCTAGAGAAATATAAAAGAGTTTGGCAAACAGTATTTTTTAAAGTATTTTAGATATTTACCTTCTTGTTCATGAAAGTTAAAATTAATTAAAAAGTTCAAAGACAGTTTTGTAAGCTATGATATCTAGTGTTCTTAAAATACTTTAATCTATTTGGTGAAACTAGCATAAACATTAAGTTTGCAATTATACATACTGCCATCCATTTCTGTACAGAACTTCCATCAGGACAAATCCCAAAGATATAATCTCAGCATTCTGCACACATCACATTTATATTGTAAACATTTAAAAACAGTTCTGATAAAAGCATATAACTCCTACTTTCCACAAAATGCTTTAATATGTAGCATGGGGTTAGCAAGAACTTTAAATTGATTCTTACACAATTTAGTGATGCATTTCTGAGCACTACTTCCATTAGCACCAATTTTTCCGTGATAAATTTGTCAGATACAATCATGTTTTGCACCACTGCCATATTTGTAACAGCTTCTGTACAACAATGTTTATATATACTGTAATCTGTAACTATGTCTATAATCTACAAAAATTCCACTATTGTTGCTCCCACCTCACAAGTTTATATGGATATCATGCTGAAATCACTGAGGGCAGAAAATTAGAACTATGGCCATGTGCAGAAGTACTGTAACAGTGCATCCATGCAATCCAACTGGTTGAGTAATGCATGTTTTCGATACTAATCATGTTAAGCTCAACCCTCCCAAGTTAAAATGCAGCTGCTGGTTCTACACTACCAAGGAATTTAAAATCCCATACTCCTTAACAATAAAGGTTCCAAAGTACAAAGGCAGACTGAACTCTTGTACTGTGATGATTACATCTACTTTAATGAAAATNGGGGGGGGAAGGGAGCTGGGACAAGCATGGTTTTTGTATAGGGGAGAGAAAGGCAAGGTTAAAGGCTGGGCACTAACCCGTAAGCTGAGGGGGCGGGGTTGTTATGTTGGTTGGTCATGGCCTGTGTGGCCTTCTGGATCTGGCGTCATATCCCGGTGGGGGTTTTTAAGAGAACAGATGAGAGGTTTCCAAGACTTGCTGAGACAAAACCCCCCTCTCTATTCATATTTTCTGGATGCAGTTCAATCTCAATTGTCTCCCTAACGATGCGATCCATATAGCAGGTCTTGGTGGCGAGGATGGAGTGTGTCTTGTTCTCATTCTTCATTTACTTAGAGATATGTTCAATAACTCAGATTGTACAGTGTCAAATGACAGGTTAATTTGTGAATGAGGTGAAATGTATATGGTAGGACGTGACTGTGGCCTAATGTGAAGCTGGTGAGACTGCAGCAAATCATAATGAACCTATGATAATTTAAAGGAGAGATCACAAATATATAGCAGAATGCTAACCACTAGTCTGCAATGTTCAGTTGAAATCTGTCAAATGATTCATAAGTTGGGGGATGGCATATTGGGGTGTACAGACATAATGACACTATTACACTAATTTCTCTATATAAAATTAGAAAAGCGGGATAGATATGACTTGACCTAATGGCATTGCAGTCATATACAATCTGCAGAGAATGATATTTCTGAAATTATTAAGACAGGCAGGGCTGTGTCTTCATTTACCCAAAAAGCTGCAGTGTAATACTGCAAAGGTATAAACTAAATCATTGGCCTTTTCATACTAACTTCTGGGGAAAATGGGGAACTATGATTTTTCTTGTTGATTTAATATTCTATTATAATATACTTATTTCCACCCGGCTGATGAAAGCAAAAGCTGCATACCAAAATTAATATTCTTAGCCTCTTCTAAGACAGTTTTCTCATCTAGCTGCAAAATATTCACTCTTGATTTACACAACTCAACCAACACTATGTGAGGTTGCACAGCTTGGATTATCTGAAACAAAACAATGTTCAGATACAATGAATGTTTTGAAATGTAGAGTATATTACAGTGAAGAGTTCTGTATTCTGGGATATAACACTGTGTAAGCAAAGCAAGCTGCCTGCTTCACGCTGGTCTCTTGCTTGGCTTGCCCTTCAACCCTCAAGATAGACATGATATGTTCCTTGGAAATGGCTTACTTTCACCACATTGCACACTGTTATAACCCAGAAGACGGAGCCTCAAATCCAACACAGTTCATTAATACATGTGTTTTCCAAACTCTGCCTCCTCTTTCAATATTGCCTGGTTAAATGACAGATCAGAGGTGACTCAACTGCTATGGTTATATGTAACTGTCTGCTCATCTCAGAATCCTGTGAAATTAAACACATAAACGTTAGAATTAGACTAGAATAAACCAACATTTACAGCAAATAAATACTTATTATGTCAATGAATAATGCAAAATTAGAATACACAACTTAATGAACTTTAAAGGAATGGAAAGGATGTGGTCATGGCCATGTCAAGGTACTATCCCAGAATTCACATGTAGGGACTGATGAAAACCAGGGCAGATAAATGCCAGTAAATTCAGATATATCAGCCAAAATTCAAATCAGATGTCTCTTTAAACACCAATCAGGAGCATTACCACCTGAGCCAGCTGTCCTGGTAACTGAGGGGATGAGAGATTCATATTACACTGAAAACTGGTTATGGGGATGGAAGGTAGTTCAGCACCATATCTAATAGTGGGCTCAGTATTAATGATGCTGAACTATGGATTCTGCTGCCAGAGCACCAACTGTATATATTCCCATTCTTGTTTATTGAAGTTCATCAAAAATGTTCAAACTGTAGAATAAAACTACTACTTGTGAAACACACGTGCATGCACACAAAAAAATGTTAATTACTCTCCCCCTTCTGTATCCCTTCAGATTCTTAGCTGAATGATCAGTGATTTGTGGCTGAACCTTTCCTTCATTGCCCTGTCCTGCTGCAGGTGCCATATGCCTTCTTGTCACACCTGCAATATTAATTTTGTCATGCAATAATAAAAGGCATGAATTTCTCTCATGTTATGCAACTTACCTTTGCAACGTCCTCCTGACTCTCCATACTAAAATGAGCTGTGCCAACAAGATACACTTTCCCTCCATCTGGAGTTGTCAGTAATGACACTGTTTCAGGAAGCTTTGTGTCAATGGTTGGATCATAGTGAGGTAACAGACTCAGGACTTTGGATGGCTCCCCTGGCTTTTCTTCAGAACTTGCATCCTCAACATCAGATTCAATACCAGAACCAAGGCTTTCTTCTGAAAGCAAATGAAAATGGAGGCCTTTAATTCACTGAGACTGCCAATTTACTACACCTCTCGGCACAAATCGTACAGCAAACATGTGCAGTAAATATTTTTCATTTTGAAATAAAGACAATTTATACAACAGTGGATCAAAACTGTGGGTCCTAAAATAAAACTGTCTTTCTAAAGGCCTTGAAATGTAATTTCATATGTATAGTATGTATTTGCATAACTAAAGATACTGAACAAGTTATGAAGAAAGACACGTAAAGTAAATGTAATTGTAACACAAAAGGTTAATATTGTACAGGCATTTTTAACTACTGCCTGAAACAAGTACCAAAGTTTAAGCAGAAAGTGGACTCCTCCACACAGGTGAACAAATGGCATACTTGGAAAAACATGCACAACTGGTGTACCTGTGATTTATTAAACAATGCTGTCAGTAACTCATACTACATGGTGTAAAATGACTGGATACTGAATAATGAATTCAAAATAATGCGGAAGCATTTGTGGCTTCATTTAAGATACCATGCTGGAATGTGCCTCATACTGCCAGTTATTTGATACCCAGGCAGAAAAAAATTCAAGAAAGAAAAAGGATAATTTTTATGTTATTGAAAAACAAATCTGCAATATGCATATGTTCACTAGCCATGTGGTAATTTCCCAGCCACCACTAGCAGCACAACCTGAGTTCTTCCTCATGTACATACCATTCAAGCAGACACACCATACATGTATTCAAAATTGTTCACCCATTAATTCACTCCGTCACCTAGCAAGACTTCGATATACAGTAGAACTTGGTTATAACGTCATCAAAGGGTCCTAAAAATAGTGTCGTTATAAACGAATGTCGTTGTAACCGAAATGGGCACTTCCACAGTAGCCTTATGTTAGTCACGTAAAAATCTACCAAAAACAGAGTTAAAATGTTGCATTTTTTAGTGAAATACGTAGTTAAGTACAGACTAACGTAACATTAACGTGGAACTGCCCAAATGTGTAATATCAAAGACATATTACAGCGCTTTTCACTGACAATACACACCGCACTAATACTGTATATTAAAGGTAGGCCTACTCACCAAATTACAGTAGATTACATCAATTGTTGTGCCTTACTGTACCTAGATACGAGTACAGTAATCAGTTATCTTCATCTGTTTCCTGTTACTTGCCCAATACACACTCTCTAAATTACGTTCAATGTCCATATCAGAGAAATTCAGGAATGAAAATGACGTTACATACGAGGTTGATGCATTTGTGCATGTCGTACTAAGCAAGGTATAAAAACAGTTGCTTTATGAGGAATTAATTCGTACCATTGAATATTTGACGCAATAGACAAGGTGTCGCAGAAACCGATGTTGCTATAACCAAGTTTTACTGTATGTATAAAGGAAAAATGTGTTGAGACTATGTATTATGTAAGAGCTCTTCTCACAAGTAAATTCACATACTGACAGATCTAATTCCTTGTACATGCTGGATAATGGGGAATTTAATGTATTAATCTCTTGTGTGCTCCATCATTTTAAGCACTTCAGAAAGCCCAAAGAAGAGGTTTCTCAAATACGGCCTGTTACAGGGATAGCTTTTCTTGCTTTATCTTCGACAATGGAAACAAAATATAGTATTACATATGTATTTTTTTTTTCATTTTTAAGGATTGCATCCTGTTGTGTATATACAATGAACATACACAATTTTTACCATCAACGCAACAATACTTTATCATTATTATTATTATTATAACTTGCAGGACCTGAAGATGACCCATTTGAGGTCGAAACATGTAGTGTGTGCTATATAAATAAATAATAAAGTACTGTTGTGTTGATGGTAAAAATTATATATGTTCATTACATATATAAATTGTCTACAGTGTGCACATTTATAGTAAAAACTGCATATTTTAACTGAACAGTACAGCAGTGTAGTGTGCGGCACATTACCCACATCCCCACTAGCCAGTTCATGTCCCTGAAACAGGAAGCACAGTCATAACTATGAAAACAACTATACATAATCCTCTGAAGCACTAGCAGAAATTATGGAAATTGTGTTCACACCTCTTCTGCCATTTCTTGGAGATCCTTAGTCAGTAGAGTAACAAAAGTTACAAGCTCAGCTGTGGAATAAGGATTCAAATTCCAGGTAGGACAAGAAATTCTCTTTTCCAATGTCTAGCGAGCTCCAAGGCCCATGCAGCCTCCTATCCAGTGGGTATCAGAGGTTCTCATCTAGGGTAAAGCTGTTGGGGCACAAAACTGACCACTCGCCTGCATCTAGTTTCAGTGTTAAGAACGCATGTAGCTATACCTCAAAATGCACCCCCCCCCCAAATGTCTTTATTGTATGATGCTTAATTAAGCATGGGGAAAACTTCGTAGGTTTAGGGATCCTACTTGATGTTTTCATCTACATTCTTTGAGTAACATATAAAATGAATAGCTTGTTAGTTTCCTGCACATGTTTCATCACTTCAACCTCTCAGAAAATTTCATCACTAATGAATTATGGGTATACTTCTCCATTCATCACTGACCTTCCAGCTAATCTACACACAATCACTCTCCTGAAATCAGAAGTGGTACAATTTAAGTACCAGTATGATTTACTAATCACTCCTACATGGCACATTTAAAAACTTTCAAATGTCTACTTGGTGCACTATGGAAAAAATTATTAATTTCACAGCCCAAGTATCCATGTCGACAGCTAAGAAAACATCATTACCACAGACACCATAACTTCATGTGTAAACCTTACACATTATATGCAGTAGGATGGGGCTAAGAGGACACACTTTCTCTTAAAAAAGTCTCAGGTTTCAACTTGTAATTTGTGGAAAAAGAAAACTATGGCAATGAAACTAACCATGTCAAGAATAGGTATGTGATACCTCACTATAAACTACCACATTTCCTCGATTCCATGGCAAAATATTTTTCAGATTTTAAAAATTCTGAAACTGGGCACATCTCACATTTGATGGCATCTATGAATCAATGTCAAAAAATGATACTGAATGACTAAAGCTCAAGAAAATTTTTCATGTCCATAGCACAAGTCACGGAATTGCACATACAAAGATAGCAATGCAGGAGATTCAGAAAGTATTTCTACATATTTCTGTTGTCATGTCATTATGTGTAACATTGAACAAAGTACCTAATTTGTGGCTGAAAATGTCATGTAGTTTCAATATTAACTAATACAATGTGAAGAAGATAGATGGGGCAGGTTTCATTGCAGCTTTCATTTCTTACAATCAACACTTAGGAAGGGGAATTCAGATTTTTCCTGAAAACATATTACTAAATCATGGTATGTCTTGCAATTGATAGTGTTTTATAATCGAGAAAATAAAGCAATTTTCATTAACTTACAAATGAGGCCAAACTCAGATCTTGGGCTTAAGAAGTGAGCAACATCTACAGGCTGTGTCATGTGAAAAACTGCCACTTCTTCCAAGTTTTGAATTCCCGTTACAAAACAACTACATGACATATATGGCTTAAATTTGGCATTTTCAGTCACTTCTATAAGGTCCAGGAGCTTGTCATATCTTACTGGATTTTTAAGTAGTCTGATTCAAAATTGTACCTGTGTGTGTTCATTTGACATGGAACAATTCACAGTCCAAGAAGCATTGTGCACTGGCAAATTTAAACCTCATTCTACTTTTTAACGATTTTCCTTATGTATTACAATACTGTCACTTACCTTCGTCATCTAGAACAACACTGCAGCTGTCAGGACTGTCATCCTGCCTCATTTTTGCGCTATGATTATTCTGAGGCATATTTGAACGTTCATTCACAATGAAATCTTGCGACGAACTGCTAGCATTTCGTACCTCCGAATTTTCAAGGGGGCTGCAATTTGTATTTCTACCGGTCAGAAGTGAATTTTCTAATATAACCTGTTTTTTATTTAATCCAAGAAGTGAATCCTCCTTACTGCTACTTAAACTGTCTGAAATTGTGGGCGAAGCATTTTCGCGGGGAGACAGAGTTGCATTTAATGCATTTTCATTGTCGGATGCGTTTGCCATGATTTATCTGCAAAAGAATAAGCATTAACTGCAAAAAAAATCACTTAACTTCAAACACAGATAACACTTCCAACTTTAAACTTCACTTGAACAGTCCTACAACACAGGTAGTTACGTGGCTTCTTAATTAAGGCTCTATTTATATATACATTATTTATTATTTGTTTCAGCGATATAAAGCTCATATATATTAACATACGTCTTTATTTCGGAAAACACTCCACCATTGACATTTATAACGTAATTTGAAACTGTTATGCAGTATACTTACTACCTTCTAATTATCTTGGATCGCCTTGGAGGCCTTGGATCTTGGATCACGATTATGTTACTTATATATCGACAAAATATTTCGAGTAATCGATGTTTATCAGAAAGCAATTCGCAAGGAAAATAGTGTTGTCAAGATGTGCGTTAGGGATCCATGAAAGGAAATTAGAAAGCGCGTGTATGTTGAATTGTAAATATCAGATTCGGTATATGCACTACATATCCGTAATAATTATGGCGAAATGGGAAAGATGAAAATGAATATTACTGAAAAACGGACTTTAATAGACGGAGGATTTTTACTTTGTTGACCGCTGCCACGGCTCTGCGCCTCACGGCAGTGGGGGCGCCGCTTGCTGAGAGGCGAATTCGAAATTTTGCCGTTGAATCAGCATACCTGACCTACCTGACGGCGGATAGCGTTCGGAATGAAGTATCTACAACTGACAGATCATAGTAGGTGCTGAAAATGCATTTCCTCTACACGTAGATATCTTGCGCAATTGTTTCTTTAGAAAAAAACGGGTACAATAATTCTTGCACTTACAGTACATCAGGCTCCAGCTTACACTGGATGGGGCGGGACTCGTGGGTTAGATTCCCTGAACTCTCTGTAGCGATTATTTTGCGTATTTGCGTACCCCTGCAAGTGAAAGCATGTATCATCAGAAAAGAATGTCAATTGCGCATCGATCTCACATTCGACGACTAATTGAAGAAACGAACTGAAAAAAATGAACCCTGTTACCTGGATCATGCTGTTGCAAGGCGTCGATTACTATTGTTTTATAGGGTCGAAGCTTCAGCAATTGTGTTGCCATACTTACACTACATTTTGACACTTCAGTCTCATCAGCTGGACGTTTCACTGATTTTCAAGGTGTACGTTCAAGGCTGGTCTCCGTCATCCAACTTCTTAATCAGCACTTGACACTTATGTTTTTGTTTCTCATATATTAGGAGTCCCACTGATCTAAGGTTATTCACCAAATTGCGAATTGTTTGTCCACTGGGAACTCAGCAGCAGAACATGCCAGTTCCCAAAAATTCCAAGTGAAAGTCCTTTGTGTCACAAAAAAAAATCTAATTTGTGAATCTGGCTCATACCAGATGCCAGGATCAGTATCTCTATTACAGGTGCTGATGGCTGGCCATGTTGCAAGTAGACACTAGCACATTTATGACAGAATTTCTTTTCAGCCACGTGACCACATGCTTTCAGTCTGAAACCTAGTCTACCACAAAAGAATCAAATCCGTTTCGTTAGGAAACTGAGGATTAAACTACTGCTGTTTTCACATGTAGAGCCCTTACTGGGTAATGGTCACAAACAGGTCTCTACAGCAATGAATCAACATGCAACAATAGAGGAACAGTAGGAAACGGTTATTTTCACAGGGGTCCATGTAGTGATAAGCAGGATGAAGTGAAGACTTGGTGGAGTTGTGGGATATGTACGAGATGGTAAGGACATAAGTAGACAGTGTTAAAACTTGTTACCAGGAAGCAGCTAGTGAAGACTTTATGTGTGCTGTAGATACAGATGATATGGAATGCATAACCGAGCAGGGGCGGCCCGTGTATAGGCACTGCGGAACTGCAGCACCCCCCATTTCCACTTGATATTATCGATAACATTTATATAATGAGTCCTTTTTTCTTTAATTCTTTCTTTATACTTGTACAATACAATATATAATCCTTAAGCTTAATGTCAGTAGCCAAATCTTTGAGTTTCACAGTTCCAGCGGCGAGGTGTTGACAGTGCCAACCGGTGCCGACCCTGGCGTGCTGATAGAAGGTAGTTTTTTTTTACTCTGTGTGTGTTGTGCTTAAAAAATATGAGTTAATTGTAGAATTAGATTATTATCCTGCTTCCAGCTATTCTATTTGATTCATTTTTTTCGGTTGTTTTATTTAACAGAAAACTTTAACCATGGCCTTGCATCCCCAAGAAATAAGTTCTGTGACTCTAAGTGAACTTCAGCAGCTTAAGTTTTCACAACTGTCTCTCCATGAGAAAGTTGCAGTTAAGAAAAGAGGTCATTTAACACCTGATATTCTAATATCTCAGCCAGGCATAAGCAAGAACAAGAAATATATTCGTAGCTTTAATTCTGAATGGTACAAACGGAAAAGTTGGCTTTGCGGCTGTGAAGTAAAAAATGCACTGTTTTGCTTCCCCTCTTTGCTGTTTGGGGGTGATGTAACGTGGACAAAAGATGGTTTTAGAAATATAAACAAAATGAAAGAAAAAACTGAAAAGCATGAGAAGTCAAAGAAGCACGTTGATAATGTAGTTTCACTGTCACTTTTAGGAACTGTAAGTATTAAGGAGAAACTTAGTGAGGCATACAGACTTTCAATCAATGAGCATAATATAAAGGTTAAAAAGAATGGATTTCATTTGTAAATGAATAGATTAAGCGTGAACTGTAACAATTTAGGTTAAAGTAAGTAAAAAATGTTTGATTTTGTTCTTTTAGGATTTTATCAAGTTTCTGAATAAATTTTCTTTTTATACATGTTTGTTTCCTTTTATACAATTTTAAAACAAAGGCTACAAATTTTCTGGAGCAGCACCCCCACTAATTTTAGCTACGAGCCGCCACTGTAACTGAGGAAGACTATTATAATTACTTGTAGTTACAACCCATAAGTGGTCAATGAATCCAGTTATTGGAATCCCTGTCAAAAGTCACTCACACATATGACACTATCATAAAACTGATAGCCTGGGAAAACAACACAACCAGATTTAATTTTAAAAATAAAAAAGTTATAGTCCAGGAAGACAGGATCATGTTACTTTGTGTTTAAATACCACACGAGTTACCCACTGAACAACTGTTTGCATATGATATTTATGTGAAAAGTAAGATTCTGGTGTAAATTATGGTTCCAAAAAGAAAAACTATTTATCAGACAGACAGGATAGTTACTGGACAAAGGAACTGAATGGAAACACAGACTGCCTACTGAAGAGAAATAAGATCAAGTCAGTACTTAGTCTGGACATTCTCACAGATCCCTGAGATGTAAAATATGACAGCTTCTTGATAATGGTCTTAGAACTGAAACATGCCACACTAAGTGAAATCTGGAAACCTTCTCCTCCTTTCACACCAGTAGTACTGAAGTTTTCAGGAAAAAGCTGATGTGAATGCAGCATTCAGTATAAGGGACATACTCTCATAAGTGTAAGTACTTTTGTTCTAACGTGAAACTGCCTTTAAGGTCACTTTGGATGAGCATACCAATATCTGTCATTCTTCTGCTGTGTTGAAAGCTCATTTCTTTCATCAATCCAGTAACAATGAAGCACATATGAAGTCCTACATACTGTCAAATGCCAAATGTTTGGTTTCTTTATGCCGCTACAGAAATCAGTTAGCAAATTGCATTGTTATAACCTTGACCCCAGAAGGTCAACTTCTTTCTTTGGTAGACATTCATGTTTGGTTTCTTCTATTAATGTGACTGTGATCAAGTTGATGACATGTATGATAGCTTTCAAGATTCCACCATACCTATCCAGTCATCCTGGTCTTTGTCAGAAAGGTCTGAGTTTCCTTCCCAGTCAGTAGGCAGAATAGAACTATCTTGTCAGTGTCGCAGGCTCTGGCTTATCCAAACAGGAAATAAGGATATGCAATATTATGCTTAACATTCCTTCCAGATAACCCGAACCACAATAAAATGTTTAAGCAAAGTTTTCATGAACAATATCACCTATCTGTTGCACTGTAATGAAACTGAATGAGCACGTTCCAGAAATGCCTGTGTTGTGTTCCTAGTCTTAATAAAGTACTTAATTATTTTAAGTTTTGAGTTGTTCTGTTGCCTTAAGATATTCTCCTTGGCCATTAAAATTATGGCATCGATGAACAATTTTTTGTCTCAGAATTTGTTCAAAATAAGATGTTTATTCAAACCAAATTAATATCTTGAAAACCAGATGGCCAAAAGAATTTCTAACATACTCTATATAGAGTCCTTTGAAAAGTCCTTTGAAAAGCAACCAATGTTTTGGAGGAACATATCGCTTCTGTCTTCGGGATCGAAGAATAAGCTGAGCAAGATATCAGCATGAAGGTAGGTGGCATCTGCCTGCCCCCTGCTTTCACACTGATTTCAGCTCAAGCAGAGGTCAAGTCTGAGACAGCCAATCCCTGGCAGAGGCTAGCCCATTACATACATACATATGTATGTGGTACAGTCATTAAGTTCGTGGACTGTGGTTTTATTGCATCATATTACAAGGTATTCACATACACTTACACGGATCTACATCGGTCCTCAAAATAGTCGCCATTGGCTGCTATGCAAGTCTGCCAACATTGATATAGCTGCTGAAAACACTGCTGAAACATAATGGCAGGAAATTCCTGTACGGCATCTCTTGTGGCATTGACGACCTCCTTGGATGACTGAAATCTACGACCACGTAGCTTTGCTTTCAAGTTGTGAAAGATGAAGAAAATGCATGGTGCAAGATCAGGTGAGTACAGAGGGTGTAGCAAAATGTTGGCCTGTTGCCTTGTCAGTTCCTCTTGGACAAGAACAGAGCGATGTGCAGGGGCTTTGTCATGTAGCAACAGCCAATTCGTCATGTTAAACGTTTTGCTAGGGGATTTGCCTAGTTTTTGGCAGAACTTGATGTTTGCCCATTGTTCAAACTGCCACATTTTCAATTTCCGCCACTCGCATTTAACTGCAGTTCACAATAGAGTTCTGCTTACACTGTTTGCACATAACTGCCTCTTGCTGTGACGGGAGATGAACTGACAGGGCATCATATCGTGCCTCAACCTATCCGCTGTAGAGCACTGCAACGATGCTTTGCGGCCAGTCCACGAACTTATTGACTATGGTAGTGTATTTCACTTTTCACAAGTCCAAAATACAATGGACATGAAACTGGTCACAAGCATAACACAAGCAAACAAAGCAGAAAGACAATACAAAGCTAAACAACACTATAACTAATTATTCACTGTATAAAATGAGTTATTCATGAGATATGAAAATAAATTATTTTTAGAACTGATTCTATCCTTTCTAAGACTTTGAATGGTCTTTGGTTATCTATTAAATATCCTAATACCAGTAAACATAGTGCCATTCTGGAAAGGAGAAAGATTTTAAGTTGGAATATACATTTGATTTTTGCTTCTAGTGTTCAGGCCATGAACCTGAACAGAAATTATTTTGATTATCTATCAAACAAAATTAAAGAAAAAACATATTCACATGACAATGGTACAATATCTAATTTCTTAAAAAACTTCTACATGAGTCTTTGGGTCCCACTCCTGATATGATCCTTATTACATTCTTTTGTAATTTAAAAACTCTAGAATTATTAGTCAAATTGCCCAGAGGACTATTCTATACTTAATGACAGAATGAAAGTAAGAAAAATACACCATTTGCAGGGTTTTTAAATTCATAAAATAAGATAAATTCCTAATTACAAAAATAGCAGAACTGAGTTTAGGATGGATGTGTTCAACATGACTCTTCCAATTCAATTTATTTTCAATTTGTATACCCAAAAATGTTATTACAGGGACTTCTTTCATTACCACGTTTCCAAAGGATACTGCCAGAAGAGCTGGCAGACTCTTCAGGAGCAAAATTAATAATACTAGTTTTGTTATTTAAGACCAACTTGTTTGCTATAAACCAATTTACAGTGAGAGACAAAGTATCCACAACTTTGTGCTTAAGCGCACAATGATTTTTTCCAGTGACCAAAATACTGGTGTCACCCACAAAGAGAAAAACATTGGCAAATTTATTGATGCATTGTTATAAGCTGTTACATAGCAGCACTGAGTGAGTCATGAGATAAGCACCAGACAGCGAGGGCCAGAACCATGGAACACAGAAGCTGAGGAATCTATGGCAGTGGGAGCTGTTACCAGGCGACAACCGGTGAAGACAAAGCAGACTGAGAAGATTTAGTGCTTGCTGTAGTGATCTGTAGAGTGTATGAATTAGTGATAATGCTGTAATTACCTGTAGTTCCAAGTTTTAAGTGTCCAATAAATCCAAAACGTGTGTCTAGTCACTGTCACATGACAATATCATACATGGGAATCAGCCATACACTATTATAGTACTGACAATAATTNAGTCCTTTGAAAAGCAACCAATGTTTTGGAGGAACATATCGCTTCTGTCTTCGGGATCGAAGAATAAGCTGAGCAAGATATCAGCATGAAGGTAGGTGGCATCTGCCTGCCCCCTGCTTTCACACTGATTTCAGCTCAAGCAGAGGTCAAGTCTGAGACAGCCAATCCCTGGCAGAGGCTAGCCCATTACATACATACATATGTATGTGGTACAGTCATTAAGTTCGTGGACTGTGGTTTTATTGCATCATATTACAAGGTATTCACATACACTTACACGGATCTACATCGGTCCTCAAAATAGTCGCCATTGGCTGCTATGCAAGTCTGCCAACATTGATATAGCTGCTGAAAACACTGCTGAAACATAATGGCAGGAAATTCCTGTACGGCATCTCTTGTGGCATTGACGACCTCCTTGGATGACTGAAATCTACGACCACGTAGCTTTGCTTTCAAGTTGTGAAAGATGAAGAAAATGCATGGTGCAAGATCAGGTGAGTACAGAGGGTGTAGCAAAATGTTGGCCTGTTGCCTTGTCAGTTCCTCTTGGACAAGAACAGAGCGATGTGCAGGGGCTTTGTCATGTAGCAACAGCCAATTCGTCATGTTAAACGTTTTGCTAGGGGATTTGCCTAGTTTTTGGCAGAACTTGATGTTTGCCCATTGTTCAAACTGCCACATTTTCAATTTCCGCCACTCGCATTTAACTGCAGTTCACAATAGAGTTCTGCTTACACTGTTTGCACATAACTGCCTCTTGCTGTGACGGGAGATGAACTGACAGGGCATCATATCGTGCCTCAACCTATCCGCTGTAGAGCACTGCAACGATGCTTTGCGGCCAGTCCACGAACTTATTGACTATGGTAGTGTATTTCACTTTTCACAAGTCCAAAATACAATGGACATGAAACTGGTCACAAGCATAACACAAGCAAACAAAGCAGAAAGACAATACAAAGCTAAACAACACTATAACTAATTATTCACTGTATAAAATGAGTTATTCATGATATGAAAATAAATTATTTTCAAAACTGATTCTATCCTGTCTGAGACTTTGAATGGTCTTTGGCAATCTATTAAATAACCTAATACTGGTAAACATAGTGCCATTCTGGAAAGGAGAAAGATTTTAAGTTGGAATATACATTTGATTTTTGCTTCTAGTGTTCAGGCCATGAACCTGAACAGAAATTATTTTGATTATCTATCAAACAAAATTAAAGAAAAAACATATTCACATGACAATGGTACAATATCTAATTTCTTAAAAAACTTCTACATGAGTCTTTGGGTCCCACTCCTGATATGATCCTTATTACATTCTTTTGTAATTTAAAAACTCTAGAATTATTAGTCAAATTGCCCAGAGGACTATTCTATACTTAATGACAGAATGAAAGTAAGAAAAATACACCATTTGCAGGGTTTTTAAATTCATAAAATAAGATAAATTCCTAATTACAAAAATAGCAGAACTGAGTTTAGGATGGATGTGTTCAACATGACTCTTCCAATTCAATTTATTTTCAATTTGTATACCCAAAAATGTTATTACAGGGACTTCTTTCATTACCACGTTTCCAAAGGATACTGCCAGAAGAGCTGGCAGACTCTTCAGGAGCAAAATTAATAATACTAGTTTTGTTATTTAAGACCAACTTGTTTGCTATAAACCAATTTACAGTGAGAGACAAAGTATCCACAACTTTGTGCTTAAGCGCACAATGATTTTTTCCAGTGACCAAAATACTGGTGTCACCCACAAAGAGAAAAACATTGGCAAATTTATTGATGCATTGTTATAAGCTGTTACATAGCAGCACTGAGTGAGTCATGAGATAAGCACCAGACAGCGAGGGCCAGAACCATGGAACACAGAAGCTGAGGAATCTATGGCAGTGGGAGCTGTTACCAGGCGACAACCGGTGAAGACAAAGCAGACTGAGAAGACTTAGTGCTTGCTGTAGTGATCTGTAGAGTGTATGAATTAGTGATAATGCTGTAATTACCTGTAGTTCCAAGTTTTAAGTGTCCAATAAATCCAAAACGTGTGTCTAGTCACTGTCACATGACAATATCATACATGGGAATCAGCCATACACTATTATAGTACTGACAATAATTACATCAAGGAGAGATTGGTAGACCCCTCAGAGAGGTAGAACTTAGTATAAATGGCACTAGAAGACAGTGCCACAAATTGACTGAACAGCTGGAAGATTTACACACATATGTGGTCCTGCTCTCAGACACATCTAAAATTTTAAGAGAGATTCTTCCTTCCAAATTACCACTTTTATTAGGCTGACTGAAAACCAGGAAAAAAAAGACATAACTGCTGTTGCAGTTAGAAAAGACATTCTCTATAACCATGTAGACCTAGTTCCTGTCATTTTAGTAGAAGTTACAGGGGTCTGCATACCAGTTGTAATAGCAAAGTTTTATTTGCAGCTGTTTATAAATGTTCATGTTGCATCTGGAGTGCTGCAGGCATCAGTAAGATCTAAGTCTTTATTTAGTGAGTAATCTGAATGTGAAGCATGTTTTTTAATAGTGCAGTTTCAGATTCTTCAGGTGAGAAACCGCTGCATTTGACATCTATGAGTTAGGAATTTCCATTCCACAATGTCCCACTCATTATTCTCTTGTGGGGAATGGTGCAATTTAGTTTAAAATTTTAGTAGAAACAAAAACATAATAAAGAAATTAATAAAAATGTTGCTACTCTCTTGGGAAGTATTGTACTAGAGCCTTCATAAAGAATCATTACAAACCCAGTGCCACTACTTTTAAAAATGAAATAAAATACGCGGAGTTCAAACCCAGTTGAGTGTATTTCAGACTTGCAGAAGAAAAATGTCATTTACAGTTCTAGAGAAAAAACATTTCATGCTGAATAAGTAAAGTTGTAAGACCTAGTAAAATAAAAGTAATTTTCCATTTCCTAGCATATATCTGAAGCAATTTAAATACCAGTGTTTTCTGATGTAAAATTTTGGGAGAAGGAAATGAGTGTTAGAAATAAAGACATTGCTTTATGGAAAAATTCTTTTTTCAAAACAGCCTGTATTATCTTACCACAAGAAAGAAATATTTGCACAACTCAGGAACTTTCAGAATGAAAACATAATAATGCAAATAAATAACTGTTCATTATAATTTTAACAGATCACATTTATTTTATTCCTGTTACGTCTTTCCATCACACATGAAATTATACACCAAAGTACCCCATATCTATCTAATGATTAACCTAGAACTTATGATCAAACAAATGTCATTGTTGGTCCTTTTAGAATTACTTAAAATAAAAGTCCTTCTACTGAAAGTAACAACAGAACATTCTGAATTAGCCAACGCTGAAAGTGAATTTTTCATCCAAAAATTAGCAAGTGTCTGAATATTTTTGTTTTAATGCTTTTGATCTTTTTTACTGCAGGGATTTTGAGGACATATTAATGGCACATGAAAGAAGTGAACAAAATCCTATAAATATTTAATGACACAATTTTATAATGACAAGCTGTTGAGCAGATATATTGGCATTTCATTACATCGACTAGTAAGGGAGAAACTTAAATGACTGACTAAGGATGGGGGGTATAGTGTGCTGCACTTGAAATCCCTGCTCCACAACTGATTTTGTGTTCGGTACCCACTATAACAACCTTCCTTATAACACCTAGTTTCTAAGTGAAGAAAACTTAAATTGTATCCAGGAGGTTCAATGCTGATATAGATGCTTATCAGTCTCTAACACGTAGACCCCAGATACTGGTCCTTCTTATGCCAACAGTAGGGCGGGCAACACTTGAAAACAGGAACTTGTTAACATCCACTTCACGAAGATTATCTTGCAAGTTTGCTAATGATTGCTCACTCATCAAATTGAAAACATCCAGGTACATTAGTGAGCTAACTGATGATAATTGCCTGCAATAACAAAATAGACATATAAACTGCACAGAAATTGCCACTACTTGCAAGGTAATACAGGCACATATAACATATAGTGTTAAAACAATCTCTCCATTTATGGTCCATTTTACCTTTGTCTCTGTTCAGCCTGGCAAGAGGTGAGTCTATTTCTGATTTTCTTGAAAAAAGAAAGCTAAAATTATATCAAATCCTACATTCCTACAGTTAATAATGCTAGAGAGAGAATGGTCTCATTTTCAAAAAAATAAAACCTATCAGGAACCATTAAAACTACTCTGACTCAGAAATTATAATATTTTGATGTGTATTAAAAGCTTCTGAAGGGCCTTTTATACGACATTAGATTCAACTGTCTCAGATCAAACATAACTTATAATGCCAAGTATAATTTATGATTTAGTAAGAAACGCCCTGAGTCTTCTGTTTCGTAATGTATATGCTTAGTAATCCTACAGTGAAGTGTCAGAGGTTTAGTGCTTCCATTTCAATCACCAAGAGATGTCAACAGACGAGTTGCAGAATAGTAGTTTATTTAGTAATAAAAAGTGAACAAGAAATAGAATTAGAAACTGAAACATTACATAGAAACATCATTAGAAACGTTACTAAAACAATGTAGAAATGTGAATAATACAGCAGTTTTAAAACGGAATATGTTGAAAAAAATGACCAGAAAAAAGAAAACAATGAAAGAATGGACACAGATACAAGAGGAGCACTTGCAGATAGAAATTTCTTCCTAGCACAACCTATCGTGGTAGAAAATGTAATGGATGAGGATGAAATACACGAAAGGCCCTATCCAAAACCACTATCCAGAGTTTGTACTGTGACATAACACCTAAAAGTAAGAATTTTGAGATCAGAGAAGTGTCACTGAGGTGTCCATTGCTATGAGAACAGCTTGTTAAAATAAGTTTCTGCAGCAACAAACATGCACATAACAGTAGATTGAGGACAATGTTCACTAATCAGTCCATTACCAGGCTACATACAGGGAGTCCTTGATGGCAGCATTAGGGAGAGTCCCTGCTGTTAGATTCCAAAACCTAGAAATGTTTGTGAAGTCAGAACAAGTAAGGAACTAGCCAAGAGTGATACAACAAACTTTGAAGGAGTGTAAATACTTGTAAACAGTGTAATTATCTGTAAATTTGTAAGAGTAATTAGCATCTAGTCAATTCAGTTATCAATCCAAACCCTGTGTCCAGTCACTAACATGTGACAAAATGTTAAGTCATGAAATCTCTTAAATAAGGATACGGTTTGCAAAAGACAGATGATGTGGGTTCCATTTGTATCTTTATAACCAAGCATTCATGAACAAAGTTGTTTGGCTAATTTAAAACACAAGAATACCATTATACATACCCAGTTTTGAATTAATAATTATGAAACCTAATGTGTTACAGTCTCATATTTCCATTTTCAAGGGTATCCAATGTTAACAGAAAACTTTACATAATTTTACATTATTTAAGTTTTTTCTGTAAAAGTAATTTAAAATTGATCTAATCCTAAAATATAATCATTTACAAATATGCTGGACCTGATGATGTATGGAAATAAAGGCTTCTGTATCTTGTCTGGTGCGATGTAGACAGTTGTGTTGTATGAAATACATCTAATTGTATCTTGCAGCATCCCTATGATGGTAATAAAGTATGTTTAGATAATACTGAGCTAAGCTATTGAAAACAAAGTTGCAGGTCTGTGTACGGCAGGCCATTAGTCATACTTACAAGTATGCTGCTGGAGTTATACTGTAACACCGACTGAGTGCAAGATACTCAATTTTATCTAACTTTGTTACAATACTTATTGTTTCTGAAGTCAGGCTTGTACAGTCACTCAGGTCCAACTCAACCAGCTCAGGACAGGCAGTAACTAACTGACGAACATCTGCAATGCAAATATACCAAATTATACTTATTTATCTAAATTTGCACGCTTATATAGCTCTCATACATTATTGCTCTAAGCTATAAAACAGGAAATTAGGAATAAATACGAACAATTTATTTAAATTCTCAGCTATTAATTAGACTCGTTAGTTATTTTAAATGCAAGAATATGTCTGTACATAGGGGGGCACACGGTAGCATAGTTGGTTGAGGCACTATGCTACAAGCCAGAAGGCCATGGGATCGAATCCCGATGAGGTCACTGGATTTCTTTTTTTCAATTTACCTAATCCTTCCAGCCGCACTATGGCTGTGGGGTCGACTCAGCCTCTAAGAGATATGAGTACCAGGAATATTCTTTGGGGTAAAGGGTGGCCGGTCGTAGGGCTGACAACCTTACTGCCGTCTATGGGCCATGGCCAAATGTCTACAAAATGTGGGAACCTCAACATCTCACAACCCTATGAGCCTCCAAGGCCTGTTACAGGGATACCTTTACTTTACTTATGTCTGTACATAAGCATTCACAACACCTAAATTTGTAAACTGTTATATAATTATATAAATACAGTATACTATATTCTACCCCTTATATATCATATTGATTACACTGATCTGCAGGGTGGATAAAAGTTAAATGAAAATAAATACTGTTGGATCCCAAAAATTTGTTTTACTGAGATTCATCGAGTAGATTTCTGTGAATTTCTTTTGTCATAAAGTGCATAAAGTTAATGCTTAATGGGAAGGATGTGTCTATTTGCACACTTTATCCCTGAAATTACTGAACTAGTTTCAGTGCAATTATATCAATTATGCCCCAAAAACAGCCAAGTGAGAAAATACATACGATTGTCAGTAAGAGTTTTGCGACAGCCACTAATATTAATCCTCTGCAATGAACGAGGCAGTTCAGTACAGAGAGTATTTAAAGCAGCCAATGAGAGATTAGTCCAAGCTATGTTAAGGGCTGACAACCTGAGAAAAGAGATTATACACAAATTAAAATGGGTGGGGAAAATATCAGTGTTCATAAAAAATTGTTTGTTTTTCACTGATGAATTTACTTCACTATGCAGACAAGGTTGTCTTTTGCATTTCATCCGTTTACAATTCCTTACTCTAATGTGTCTAGCATTGCTGGTATTTTTTTTATCTGAAGTAAAGACGTATTTAAAATGCCACATTATAAATAACTCTACAGTTACAGAACACAATAATTCAACCAAAGTCTTCTTCCCTTTTTATATAATTATGTTAACAATATTAGAGGAGGGCACAAGTTATGTTCCTCAGTACACAGTTTGTTCAATTCCTGCAAGTCAATTTAAATGAAATATAAATATGGCATTGTTCACACACACCCTCAAATCTAGAGTCTTACTTCACTGATAGACAAAATTTCAACACTTAATGGATTTGAAGCAGAAATGCACGTTCTTTAAACTAATCAAAAAAAAATTGTCATCCCAGGTACCAGTTGTCCTGAGGTTTTGACAGTTTTCTTCAGTTCTTTTTGGGAAATGTTGGAACAGTACACCAAAGTAGATTGTGCCCACTTCCTTCTAAATCCTGTCCAATTCATTATTCACCTGTCATTCAACACTATACGAAGGGGGACCCAAAAATAACCGGAAACGACCTGTTGCGCGCGCATGCTTTGTAGTTACGAGTTGTGCTGCTAGGTGGTGTTACCTGGGGGTCTCCCGCCACTGTTAGTGAGCTGGCGTCAGTCTGAGTTAAGTGGTTTGTCTGTGGTGTTCTGTTGTGTGCGTTCCTGTTTCAACCCTTTGGCGATTAGTGAAATGGCCGACCAGAAGGAACAAAGAGTGTGCGTGAAATTTTGCTTTCTGTTAGGAAAAACTGCAGCCGAGACTGTTGGATGCTTCGGCAAGCCTTTAATGATGATGCTTTGGGGAAATCACAGGTCTATGAGTGGTTTTCCCATTTCAAATCTGGCAACATGTCAACAGAAGACATGCCACACCCCGGGCGTCCTTCGACAGGAAGAAATGACGAAAACATTGCCAAAATCAAACGTGCAATTGATGAAGATCGTCGAAAGACCATTGACCAACTTTCTGAGGAAACGAACATCTCATGGAGCACGGTCCAGCGAATTTTAACCGAAGGTTTGCACATGAGACGGGTGTCTGCAAAATTTGTTCCTCGCTTGCTCAGAGATGACCAAAGAGAAAACCGCGTGAGTGTTTGCCGCGACTTGAAGAGTGAAGTGCAGAACGATCAAGAATTTCTTAAAAGAACTGTTCCTTCTGGTCGGCCATCTCACTAATCGCCAAAGGGTTGAAACAGGAACGCACACAACAGAGCACCACAGAGAAACCACTTAACTCAGACTGACGCCAGCTCACTAACAGTCGCGGGACACCCCCAGCTAACACCACCTAGCAGCACAACTCGTAACTACAAAGCATGCGCGCGCAACAGGTCGTTTCCAGTTATTTTTGGGTCCCCCCTCGTATAGTATGAGCTATTGAAAATGTTGTTAAATGAACCAAAAATAAATAACTTTACAACAAATATGTGTCAATCTGTAAAACAAAATTTTCATATTGCCCTTTGGCTGCCAAGCTCTGCCATAGTACTGTCAGCTTTAAATTCCAAGGCTGCTTAGGGACAACACAGTTGCACAGACTCACAGCACTTTCTGCAAAGGACCTTAACACGCACACACAAAACAGGAAAGTCTCTTTCTTCCATTTAATATTAATACATCATATTTGATGCCATATATTGACAGAAATGCTGTACTAATTGATATCTTTGGCTATGATAATTCCAATGTGAGTAACCCACATGTGCCAATATGTGATGTGTGAAAGGTTACACAACATTACATAATCATACTTACTTTCTGCAGCCAGTAAGAATATTGCTGATGCAACCCTGAGTGATGCCATAGCATGCTGACAAGTTGAGAACATCCAGGTTATGATTTTGCCCAATAGCAGCACATGCTTTGTCACTAAGAGTGCAATGCTCCAAACTGAGTTTCTGAAGATTCTTGCAGACATTCAACAAGTCAGCAAGGCCTAATAATAATAATAATAATATTGTCATCAACAGAGTTTACAGTACTACCAATTTATCCTTTACTGCACATAAAAAATACACAATATGCTGAAAAAAATTAGACAAAACTTAAAAAAAGGTCATGCAATGAAGCACCACAATGGCAAAATGGAAGCTAGAAATTTGATTTCAAAGTCACAACAAATCTAACTCATGTAGAAACTTTTAATTTTTTTCACACACATATGTAAATTACAAACCATGGATACATAGAAGCAAATACTGCGGTAGACAAAACTTGACAGAAATGGAAAACCGCAGTTACTTTAAATTTGTTATTGACAAAAAGGAAAGAAACACTAAATCTTATGAAATCAATGCAATTGACACTACTCTGTCCAAAAAGTATCCAACCTTGGGCCGGGAAAACAATGTTCTGTATCTGGGCGGTTACAATACCTAATACCATACAAAGTAGGCCCCTTGTGACTCCACACACTTAGCCCAGTGGTCCTTCCATTGCTGGAAGCAATTCTGGAAGACTTCTTTTGGTATGGCGTGCAGCTGCTCTGTATGATGTCCCCCTGGCTGTCAAAACGGGAGCCTTTCAGCGGTGTCTTCAATCTCAGGAACAGCCAGAAATCACATGGAGCCATGTGAGGAGAGCAGGGAGCCCGGTGAGCCTGCGGAAGGCCGTGCTTGGCAAGGAAACCCTGGATCAGGTGCGATGAATGAGCTGGGGCGTTGTCATGATGCAGCTGCCAGTTGCGTGTGTCCCACAGCTCTGGTCTCTTGTACCGAACTGCATCACGAAGATGGCGGAGGACTTCTTGGTAGTACTCTTTATTGACAGTTTGGCCTAGTGGTGCATACTCATGATGCACAACACCCCGGTAATCGAAAAAAAAAAGAGTCAGTATCACCTTCACATTGCTCCGAACCTATCATGCTTTTTTTGGGCCTTGGGGATGTTGGATGCTTCCATTGTGATGCCTGACCCTTGGTTTCAGGGTCATATCTGTACACCCACGACTCGTCACCAGTGATCACAGTCTTCAGGAACTCAGGATCTCTGTTGATGCACTCCAGCATGTCCTGCGCAGCCTCAAGGCGGAGTTCTTGCTGCTCAGGCGAAAGCAGCTAGGGCACAAATTTTGCCGCCACTCTTTGCATGCCCAAATCCTCAGTTAAAATTATGTTTGCGGAACCTGTGCTGATCCCAACCTCATCAGCAATTTCCTGGATGGTCAAACAGTCCTCTATGATCAGTGTCCACACTTTTTCAGTGACATCAGCATTTTGGCTCATTGACAGTCTCCCAGAATGCTGGCCACTGTCCGCCGACATACGGCCATCTTTAAAGCGGTTGAACCACTCTTTAATTTGAGTGACCCCCATTGCATCATCGCCGAAAGCCTGCTGAATTTTGTGAATTGTTTCCGTTTGGGTAAAGTTTCTGACAAAACTTGATGCAGTATTGCTGTTCCAAGCATTCTGTCATCTTGAGCAAAACGAGAATGCGACGAACACGTGTTACACTTAGCTATCTGGCAGCCACAGACGCATCCGGCAGTGTTGCAAGTCAGCAAAAAATCGCGCATGAAAGTCCCTTCTACCACTATGCTCAATTTCCCCACCCCTTTGGCCACTACTTACAGAGGCAAAAAATAAAGTCAGATACTTTTGGGACAGTGGTGTATATTCCTACTAACCAACGTTCCATTGTCTTCTTCATTGCTAGGTTGACAGCCTGATCTCTCCAGAGTGTCACTCTGTTCTTTATATGTCTTCCAGGGATTTCTCCTCTCTTCAAGTGAATTACCTACTGCTATTCATACAATCTTTCAGGTGACATGCATGAAACATGGCTGTTCCATATAATTTTTCTTCATTCACTCATACTGATGTGGATGCCACAATGAGCCTAAATGTTCTGGCTTGTTACATGGTCAAGCCTCATTATTTTCACCAATATCATTCTACTGTACCCATATGAGCTGTTTTTAGTGCATTTATTTATTCATACATTGTCTGCTATTGGTTCTGATGCGCAAGTCATTATAAAATTTTCTTTTCGTTTTTTACAAAGGTATTTATTTTCCCGTGTTGTGTTAAAACAAATTTAATCATACTCACTTGAATAACCACAACTTTACCAGCATTCCTTCATTCAATAATATGCATTAAAACTCTCTAATACAGCTATATGCAGAACTTAAAAACTTCTTTGAGAATTCAGTTACCAAATTTCAAGCATTTGTCCCTTTCAAATGCATACAGAAATATGATTACAAAAATGTTATATGTAAATTAATACTGACTACTTTGGCCTTGATATATGATTACAGAAATATTAATAATTTAAATATTAACTTTCACTGTCCAGCTTTTAAATTCAAGCCTCATTTTAAATATTGCAGTTTTCAGTATGGGGTTCAGGTTTCATACTAGCTGAAGAAAAAATCGTTTGTTGAAAATGCTGGGAAAGAAATTACAATTTCACTTTACATTTAGTAGACTTTGAGGGAATGATACCAGCCATCAGGATGCACAGAAACATACAGAGGGCCCAGAAACCTTGTTTCCCTTTTGATGTTCTTTTGAGACACATTCTGCAGCATGTAACTGGGAATTTGAATGTGTTTTGTCTTTTCTCGTTGAGTGACTTTCCACATAATCTTTAGGCAGAGTGGGATTGTTCATAGAAACTGAGAAACTGTTATGCATCAATTGGATTGTCTCAATGTAAATTCTTTCTCTTTTCCCTTGTCTTCTCCCCCTCTCTCTCCTTTTACGTCAGGAACAAATGTGTGCATTGCCCTATAAAGTTATGATAGCACAATGTGGCAGAGAAATAACATTCTCTCATGTTTCGTATTATACTATAATATGGACGCTACTGAACAGCATAGTCCATGCAGTACTTGCAGGTATAATGAATAATGCATATTGGCTTTACCTGTTTGCCTATTCTATTGCCTGGTGCCTCTACGTTTCTTGCTGTGTTGTGGACTCAATAACATACCACTTGCTTGGCTTGAAAATTGAGGACAAGTACTTCCTTCTACCAAAAATCTGTCTTAGCTTAGTATTTGGGATGTGCTTGATTTGATTCTTGACAAAGACACTTGCTATCCAGAATCTTCATAGTTTTCCCCAGTCCCTCCAGGTATATGCCAGGATAGTACCTTGATTAGGCCATGACCAATTTCTTCCAAATTCTTTCATTTTCATCATCATCCTACCATTTGATGCCATACAGTCTCAGATACTGAGAGTGTTATAAAAATGCATCATTATTTTGGGCTACCATTGCTTAGTACTATGACAGTGTCTTGTATACAGTTTCAGACCACTGTTATTTTCTTCTGAAAATACAAATGGCATTTGCTGCCAATTACCTGCATAAAGTCAGGGTTATAAAATGTTCCAAGTACTTAGCTGTCATGGAATATAAAGAGTGAGATGGAGAGATGATGATGACTTTCGGGAAACACTGGCTGATGGGTGGTATCTGATCATTCCAAACTGTTTTCTTTATTAATTTCTAATGGCCATTTTGGAGACCTCGATTTGGGTACAATAAATGTCAGAATTGCTATTATTCACAATTTTGCAGTTCCCTTCTACTAGTTTTTCTCTTTTCACTGCCATGACTGTGTTCTAGTATAACCCAAAGACACAGAGACGATACTGTGAACCATATATCAGCTCTAACCTTGTTCTCATAGAGATTAAACAAAAATGCACCATAAATAAAATGACAGAGGGCTCAAAAAATGTATATAAACTTCAGTGTACAAAATATTTTCTAAAATAATTTATTGGTATATTTTTGGTTCAACTTCGAAAATGTCCATAGATAAGCTCTAATGAAGTGTTATATAGGTTACACCTGTATATGGACATTTTCAAAGTTCAATCACAGATATACCAATAAATTATTTAAGCAGATATATTGTATGTAGAAGTGTGTATACATTTTTGTGGGCCTCTCTGTACAAGGGAGAAAAAAACCTGTCAACTGGCATGCCTTTTGATCTAAATGACCCATCCATGAACCTCTATTCATGGGTCATGCAATCTGACATGATTTTACTCAGATCTTATGGAGACTCACTAAATTGACTTAGGCCCAGGCTGGCAATATTAATGTCTTACTAATGAACTGTCTGAAGTTTATCCTGGCAATGACTTTGTTAATGGGTTAGGAGCATGTTTGCACAGAACTCATTCCTTTGAAAATTTATTACTAAATCTCAGTATTTTCTCTATCCTGATCCAGTATTCCTAAGAGTATGATAAGTTCTTATGATTAATGAAAGACAATGGGATAGATGATACTATACGAGGGGGGACTCAAAAATAACTGGAACCGACCTGTTGCGCGTGCATGCTTTGTAGTTACAAGTTGTGCTGCTAGGTGGTGTTAGCTGGGGGTCTCCCGCGACTGTTAGTGAGCTGGCGTCAGTCTGAGTTAAGTGGTTTGTCTGTGGTGCTCTGTTGTGTGCGTTCCTGTTTCAACCCTTTGGCGATTAGTGAGATGGCTGACCAGAAGGAACAAAGAGTGTGCGTGAAATTTTGCTTTCTGTTAGGGAAAACTGCAGCCGAGACTGTTGGGATGCTTCGGCAAGCCTTTAATGATGATGCTTTGGGGAAATCACAGGTCTACGAGTGGTTTTCCCGTTTCAAATCTGGCAACATGTCAACAGAAGACATGCCACGCCCCGGGCGTCCTTCGACAGGAAGAAATGACGAAAACATTGCCAAAATCAAACGTGCAATTGATGAAGATCGTCGAAAGACCA